AGTGGGAGGGTTTTGGGAGGGGGGCAGAAATGGAAACTTTTATAATTTAATAAACTTTGAAAAATAAAATAAAATAAAATAAATTTCTAGTTCCATTAATCTACCTAAAAAGTTTATGATGAAGTTTTTCTTTAAATTAAAGAATATTCCATAATGTCCAGGAGCCACATTTGTATATTCATCCATCAGTTGAAGGAAATGTAGGTTGTTTCCATTTCCTAGTTACTGTAAATAGAGTAGAAACACAACACTCATAAACAAATATCTCTGGAGAAGATTGCAGCATTCTTTTGACACAGAACAATGTGTAGCCTAGCTGTTTCATGTGGAAGACTCATCCTAGTGTTTAGAAGATTCTCCACACCTATTTCCTGAGTAGTTGCACCAATATGCATTTTCCTGAGAGTAAATGTAGAATTCTAATCCCCACACAACTTCCTCAGTAATTGATCCCCTGATTTTTAGATATACTTACTGAGGTGAAATAAAATCTCAAAGTTGTTTTGACTTGTATTTTCCTATTTGCTAATGATGATGATCAATTTTAAGATATTTTGAGCCATTTTTCAATTCTTCTTAGAACTCCATCTAAACAGTGACGTTTTCCTACCATTTGCATTTCCTTCACCAGGAAGGGTGAAGCAAAAAGGGTTGGTTTAGTAAGACTTGTGGAGATGGCCTCAAGTCATTTTTATGGTGGTGTCCTTCCACTAGGGGGTACTGTAGAGTGACTAGAAATTACTTTTTCTTAATTTCCCTACAGGTTTGAAGATGTCAGAAGAGATATAAGGCAATCCACTCACAAAGATATAAGTAAGTGTGGAATTCCCTGGTCTTCAGTTCTCAATCATTCTATATAAAACCAACAGATATCTAGAGCTTGTTCACTGGATCTTATGTGTTTATAAACCTATTTTAAAAATAATTCTCTGAACCGATGTAAGCAAAATAAAATCTCAGTGGGCATCATGAAAATGGGTAGTTAAGAAAAAACATCTCCACTGCTTTAATTTTTTAAGTTTTATTTTAAAATTTTCCTAAATTTATAAAACAAGAAATTATTCCATTTCCCTTTATATCATATATGATATATTCAAGATATCTATCTATCTATCTATCTATCTATCTATCTATCTATCTATCTATCTAACTATCCTTTGAACAAGAAAGAAAAAAATAACTGCTTAGAGAAGAAAACCAGGAAATAAAAGTTCTAAGAAAGTACAAGGGATTGGAGCTTGCTGACCGAGACCAGGCATTCACAACCAGGTCAGAATCAGCTGTCTTTCCTGGACAGTTGTGAAAAAGAGCTGTGCACAAACCAAGAGATGAAAAATAAATCATGGTGAAAACACAGGCAAGACTTTTTTTCTTAAAATCAATAAACCTGTCATTGGGAACATTTTCTATGCACATGATTATCTGATGATTTCAAGAAATATATTGCATTGCATGCTGACTTGCTCCATTTATGATGTAAGGACTTTCTTGTTGGGCATATTAAGCACATTGAATGGTGGTCCCAGGCCCATCAGTAGATGGCCACACACTGTTTCCTTTGTAGAAAGAGGAAACACACTGTTGGGACAGTGAGGTGGTAGAAAAGATCTAGGTGGACTTAGGAGTTGGGAGACCATGATCAGAATATATTGTCTACAGAATATATTCTTTACAAAAAAAAGGTTGAAAAAATCTTGTTAAGATTCTGCAAGGCTCTTCTAACTCACTGGTGACATCAGCTTTCAAACCAGTATTCTGAGTTTATGAATTCTCTTTACTCACAATTTTCCCCCAACTTTCCTTATATGAAGTACTACTTTAGAAATACACAGTTTTGGGATCTGCCTCTTGACCTTCACAGTTGTGGAGCATTTACAGTGTAGAGTCATGAGGTGAAGGTGGGTGGGGTTGTTCAGATGAAAGAGAAAGTTCAAAGAATTGGGGGAACCTTTTGTGTGTAACACAAGCGTGTTTGGGTACAATTCTTGATACCCTTACAGGAGGAGAGAAGGCAACCCAGCAACTGGACAGGGGCCATGGAGAGTAAACTGGGAGCTGTGCTCGGGATTCTGTGGGTGCAGATTTGCTGTGAGTTGTGCTCACCTAAGTCATTTTAGGAATTCTGCAGAGATGTCAGTGGTGGAGGGGGAATGAGTCAATTCAAAACCCTTGTGTAGTCATCCTTATGGTGTTTCCTGGGATGTTTGACAGGTGTGGGTGAAAACCCTTAATTGGCTCTGGTTTGCTTTTCTGTTTCCAAGCAGGAGTGCAAGGAGTTGATGTGGAGCAGAGTCTTTCAGATCTGAGTCTCCACGAGGAAACTAGTTCTTCTCTGAGATGCGAATTTTCTACCACCATCATGAGTGTGCAGTGGTTCCAACAGAATCCCCGGGGCAGCCTCATCTGTTTTACTTGACTCCTGGAACAAAGGAGAATGGAAGGCTAAAGTCAACATTCAACTCCAAGGAGAGCTACAACACCCTGAACATCAGGGATGCCCAGTTGGAGGACCTACGCACCTACCTCTGTGCAGTGGAGGCACAGTGCTTTCTACAAGCCTGCAGCCTGGTCACAAACTGCAGATGAGTGTGCAGCTGCAGTCCTGACATGGGGAGACTAGATAGGAGACTTTTCACAGTGGTGGCTTTATCAGATCCCCACCAATTACAAAGAAATTTTGAGGAAACAAAATTTCCAAAACAGAAATTCATGCTTAAAATCAGATTGACATGTCCTTGATTTGGATAAGCTTAAATGTTCAGAAACATCAGCCCACATGACTAAGATGTATACTTTATTTCACCAAATGCTTATGCTAATGTCATGAAATCTAAGCCTCTCTTACACATTCCAGAATCATTTGGACCATGGCTCAAAACTGGAAACTGGGGACAACTATTTCCGTCCTATATTTAGAAACCATAGGAAAACATTTACAGCTAATCTACTTCATATAAATTTAATAAAAGAATTAAATTTGAAGATCTAAAAGATTAAGTTTAAAAGGCAAGATAAACACAAATCTTATTAAATTAAGACATTATTTCTACAATATCTTGATATTTTTAAAAATATAATGAATTTATTTATGTAATATAAAAATATTTCACATAAAATGATCAGAGACAAAATATCAATGACAAACTAGAGAGCTATATTTGTAATTTTTATCAGAATGATATTTGTAGCAACTGATTCTACCAAAATATTAACACATCTTCAATGTAATATATACACACAACTAACTTCTCATTCAAAGATAGCTCTCAAAAGTAAAAGTGGAGCCCACCTAAAGGTCACACAATAGGGCATTATTTCATTATACAGTAATTAAATATGATCCCAACAACTGCTTTTGCCCAAGGGTTGGTATCTTCTAGAACTGAAAATCTCTGACAGGCCAGTTGTCTTTATAAGGAACTGGAAAGCAGCCATGCTCACTGATTCCCAAACTGTCTCTTTTTTACCCTGTTCACCACTCAACACAGCAGCTGAGTGGTTACAACAGTGACTGGATTAGCTAAAATAGAACAAAAAACAAACACCCCCCCAAAAAAAACATATGAGGAGCTCATATACATGCAAAGACACAAGCTTGCGCACAAAAATATATAACACCACAAAACTGGAAGCCATAATATATAAGAAAGTAACTGATATGTTAAATAATGACTCAGATAAAGCATTAAGAGACCTAGAAAACAAACAATACAATTGAGTTTATTTGAGTTGGCCATCTTCTGCTGAGCATAAGACCTAACTTAAGTGTGGTTTGTGTACCCAGGGAAATGTCCTTGGAGAAAACTAAATTTTTCCTTGTGAGCAATTTTCAATTGGAGATAGCTTCTGGGTTCGAAGCAGGTAAAGTCCATTTTCACCTTCCTTAGTCCCTTCTATTCCCAGTGGCTCATATAATCCTTTTGCTTCCTCTTCCACAAAATTCACTGAACCCTTACAGGAGAAGTTTAATGAAGACAATCTATTGAGGACTGGGTGTTCCAATGTCTCTCATTCTCAGCATATTTTCCAGGTGTGGAGTTGTAGATCCCTGTGTTTGTTCCCATCTACTGCAAGCAAAAGCTTCTCTGGTGATTGCTGAGTAAGACATTGATCCACTGATGTAGCAGAAAGTCATTAGTAGTCATTATATCATTATGGATATTTAGTAGGACAATGATACTTGGTTTTTCCTTAGGTCCATAGCCTGTCTAGACTCAAGTTTTTGGCCACCGGAGCAGTATTAGGCATGGATTTCATCTAATGGGCCCTAAGTTCATTCAGAATGTGGAAGGTCACACCAATATCAACTGTCTTTTTATCATACCACTGTACCATGTATAGGGATCGCCATTGTAGAATAAAGGACTTATAGCTATGTTATTCTTTACCTTTCTTCTCTGGTAATATTATACATATGCTTTGCTAGATTTAAAGACAGGAAACAGACTCACTAGTGTGTTCAAACACCATTCTTAATCTCTCAAAACTGGAACACACTTGATATGACATATTTGTGTCTTATGTGTCTGAGTCCCTCACATGTCAGATAACACTTAAGCAGAGGCTTCACTGGTTAAGGATGCAACGACCAGGTGGGAGTAGAACTCAGCTGCTGTGGGTATGCAGAGGACTCACTTCTTTGAACGCTGATTGTGCAGGCTTAGGGCAGAAGCACACTCTTTTTCTCAGTATCTGAGTGGATGACTCAAGCAGTAGAATTGTTCATTAAAAAGAACAACACCCCAATAACAGTAGCTGACCAGCTAGTCATCACAATTTATACTGGGCCTTAATTTATTTGAAAAGAATATTGAAGACATATGTTCCCTATTTAGTCATGTTTCTGTGGTTGCAGCGGTATGGTGAGTTAAGATTTTAGAACTACCGAATAATCTGTGGGTATTTCTGACACATCCAGAAGGCACTCTATGTTAGTCAGATTTTCTCTACTACTGTTTAAAGAGAGAGAGAGAAGAAAAGAAAATTTGGCAAAGTGATGAGGTGACTACCTTTCTCCTTTCTTTCCATCTTTATGCATAGGGTTGAGCCAAGACGAGCATCGTCCTTCTACACTGAGAGTCCAGGATGGAGCCAGCGCTGCCATCAACTGCACATATATAGACAGTACCTCTAACAACTTCCTTTGGTATAAACAAGGACTTGGAGAGCATCCTAAGCTCAATGTCGACATTCAAATATGGAAAGAAAGAGGGATTAAAGACTGATAGCTTTATAAGATAAGAAAGCCAAACACTTCTCCCTGTACTTTACAGACACCCAGCCTGGAGACTCTGCCATGTATTTCTGTAGACATTAAAACACAGAATAAGTAGGTTAGCTCCAAGAAATTAAAGCTCTTTTGGACTGTTTTCTTTTTTTAAAATATTTTAAAATATGGAACACATTTTTTTCATTCCCTTTTCTTGGTTGCAGTACATGATTTCTGTTATAGATAATCAGAACTCACTGTTCTTCAGAGAAGAAGATGCTATATCGCACATGACCCAGATTGAACATATCAATCACATAACCTCGTCCCGCGGTCAAAGGTCACTGAGGTAGAAGGGGTGGAAAGAATGTCAGTGCGATAGGTGAGGGAATGACTACAAGGAAACAGTGTTTTCTGGACACAGCAGGGCAACTGCACACATGTATTCACAGGTTTACAACACATGTAAGACTTGAAAAGTATCAGAGCAGACAGTTTGATCAAGGAGTGAAGGTGTGCATTTCCACCTTTAGCTGAGAAGCCATGTGAAATTGGTAGTTTTTGGAGAGAGACTCGAGTTTCTTTAAAAGTAAATCCCCAGTGCATAGACTGCCCTCCAGTGAAGGCCACACATCCAAGATTATATGTGTATCATATCCTGAAATGCAAACCTTGATGTGTTCAATTTTTTTTAAATGAGTGAACAAAACTGAGTTCATAGGGAAGAGTAGATGGAGCTGGCAGGATTGAAGGGAGCAGATGAGCATGTTCAAAATTAGTTCCACAATATATTCTAAGAACTAATAACATGAGAAAAGATAAATTTTTATCAGAAATGTATGTGTTTGTGTGTGTATGTATTATTTTATGTATATTCATCACACTAAATACCGAAGAATACACATGGTTCAGTAACACTAGTGATTTCAGGCACTCACTATGACTTTAGATCTTTCTCCTTTGGGTGAGGTTTCAAGTTTATTCACCATGTCTTGTGTAGTTTGAACAGAAATCAGCAGAGGGCGATGCCTCTTCAGGTTGGGTCTCATCACCACTCATCCAGGCAGTGGCTTTATGTTACAGACTGTCACTGTGCGGAAGGAAGTCCTTGTTTATGAGTTTCAATAAGGTCCTGAGGAGACTTGCCTGTGAGTTTGGAGAACTCAAGAACCAAGTGTCATTGACTTCTATGAACATGCTTCCTGACACCTGCTCAGTCCTTGTGCTCCTGTTAATGCTCAGTAAGTTACATTTACCCTAAACACTGATAATGTCATTTTCTTACAACTATGGAAGCTTTTACCTACTTTCTTATGTAAAAAGTGATTTCTTCTTATTTATTTATTTATTTATTTATTTATTTATTTATTTATTTTCAGGGAGGAGCAATGGAGACTCAGTGACCCAGACAGAAGGCCTGGTTACTGTTACAGAGGGGTCACCTGTGATGCTGAACTGCACCTATCAGACTACTTACGCAGTTTCTTACATTTCATGGTATGTCCAATATCCCAAGAAAGTTCCTCTGTTACTGCTGAGGAGTTCCACAGACAACAAGAGGACAGAGCACCAAGGGTTCCACGCCACTCTCCAGAAGAGCAACAGCTCCTTCCACCTGCACAAGTCCTCAGTACAGCTGTCGGACTCTGCGCTGTACTACTGTGCTCTGAGTGACACAGTGAGGGAGACTGCAGGGGAAGCTGAACACAAACCAAGGGTGTAGGAGGGCTGAGGGGAGTGGTCTTGTGAGGGAGAGCTTCATGCCTTGTCTTCATGGGTTTTACCCAGCTCCTGATAAACAGTAACAAAGCTCAGGTCATATCCCTAGAAAACTAGGAATTTGGGGATATTCTTACAGAACAGGGTGGAACTCATTGGCAGAGACAACATGGGTTTTGATCCCCTTTAATATTGTTCTCTCCTGAAGTGGCAGAACTCTTAGAGAGAATATCTCCAGGAAAACGCAGACAAAGGATTTATAGCTACCAAGATGTCTTACAAAATTTAGTGATTTAAATTCTCTGGCAATCTTCTGTTCTTACCCCACAAATTTATGACCAAATGAAAACATTAAAACGCTAGTATTTAAAAATCTGCCTCAATCTCACCCCAGATATTATTTATATTTTTCCTCTCCTTGGTCCATGTTATAGAGAGTTCAGTCTAACTTCTAGTCTCAGTTATTGTTCATTTGTTGTGAAGAGAAACCATAAAGTATACAACTTCTACTTATATTGGGGACTTGATTATAGTTTCACTGTGTGAGCCATGATGATCACTGTGGCAAGCATAGTATCAGGCAGTCAGTCATGTCTGTAGCGTAGTAGCTAAGAGCTTAAATCTGATCACCAACAAGAGGCAGAGAGAAAGAGAGAGAGAGAGAGAGAGAGAGAGAGAGAGAGAGAGAGAGACTGGGCTTAGCTTGGACTTGAGATTCCAAAGCCACCATCCCTGACACACCTCTTGTGACAAGGCCACATCTACTATTCTGTAGATGTCCACCAAACCAGAATCAAACATCCAGATAGATGAGCTTATGGGGCCTATCTCATTGAATCCATCACACTCCCCAATAGCAATCAATTAGTTAATCTGCTAAGCAAGCACAACTGTTGGAACTCTTGAAATAATGACCAAAAGGCAGTTTCTTCTTTTTTCTATTCACCATGTAGGTGGCAGCCTGACCCTGAAAGGCTCTTAAGAAGTCCTTCCCCTTTCATGTCCACTCTCACAGGCCATTGCACTTTGCTTAATTCCTGAGCTCATCCTGGGATTAGAGGTAGGTTCTCTGATAATTCTTCTGCAATGGAAGGAAGGAAGCCAAGGTTTTGATCAATCTCAATTCTGGAAACAAAATAATGATTAAAAAAATTCTCTACTACTCATATTTATCTCTCTGAGAAGGAAGAAAGATCTGAAATCAAAGGCCATTGTGACCCTCAAGAAAGATTTGTGTTTGTGCTCACAAAGAACAACAAATTAGTATATGCTCTCTTACTGTTTAGGAGGCAAAATTAAATGTCAAACAGCATTTTTAAATTCATAAAACTACTTAAATGGCACAACATAGATAGAATCTCTCACAAGAGTGCTTGTCAAGCCTGGAATTAATGCCAAATGCAATAAAAAAACCCCACAAGTGCCCGGCATAGGAACTCATCCTTCAAGTTGTTAGTTGGGGACTTCCAAAAATTCTGCATCTATCCCCAGAGATACTTCCTCTTCCAAGGTCATTGCTGCTCTATTCATAATCACTGTGAATTGGAAACACTCTAGATGTACATCAACTGACATGTGAATTGTGAAAATATGGCACATTTACACAGTGGGGCAGTCTGCAGCTGATAAGAAATATGAAATTTTAATATAATTTCAGGTAAATGAAAACAGTCCTCCCGAGCAACGTAATCCAGACCTAAAAAAAAGCAAAGTATAATCTTAAGTATTTGAACTCTACTTTTAATATGTGTGCTTCATTTGGAATAGATGCTAGGTATCAATAAGAGGTTGTGAGGGAGGAGGACATCTCCAAAGAAGTGGAAAATACATTCATAAAATGTTAAATGGAACAGGTATAATTAATAGGGTAGTGGATGAGAGTGTTGGGTAAAGGGAAGAATGTGAGAGAAGAATAACGAATACTAAAGTATAGCATGATTAATAAAAACCCAGAGACAGATACTGAGGTTTGATCAGAAGGTCAGAAAAGCAAAATGGATAGCCACTGGCTCTTACCTCTATTTCAGTCTAAAATGTCAATTCTGCCTCCAGGATTCCTCAGAATAAGAGTGTGTGAGAGTGCTGTCTCTTCCCGTCTTATATTCCTCTGTGGGGCTGGGATTAAAGGTGTGTACCACTACTGTCCAGTTTCTATGGCAAACTAGTGTGTCTACTGGGATTAAAAGTGTGTGTTACTATGAACTGGAATGTAAGACTGACAAGTGTAGCTCTTTTACTCTTTGGTCTTTAGGCAAGTTTTTATTTATTAAAATACAAATGAAATGTCATTATACTAAAAACACTTTGAATAAAATGGTGTAAGAAATCGGTTAAAGAAATTTCCTGAAACACATACTCCAACCAAGGTGGAGCCTAGCAATAACCTGTGAATATAAACACACTTAGAAGGCAGTTTGATGTGACCATTTAGCTAAATAACAGCAGTAGATTACTTTTAGGGCCTATGACCTCCTGAATCATGGAATTTTGGGCCTTGTTGTAATACTAGGTATGAATTCCCTCCTGTTCACCAGACTTCGTATCAAATCAGAAAGCATTGTTATTCTGTAGCAGTGAGGACAGTATTGCACCAGTGAACACATAGTACCTGAAAGTTCAGTACTATAGCTTGCAGGGTCCAGCATTAGTTAATACTATTGCTACCCTTCCTTTTCCAGCAGCCTGCATAGCACCTTCTAGCACTATGAAATCTAACTAGTAGGGAAAACCTTTCCCCAGTCAATTCAAGGTTGATTTCTCTATGTCGTGCAGCAGTAGAATGTAGTGTTTTTATACGTAGGATCTCACCATTAAGTTATGATGGGCAACCAAGAACCAAGACAATTGCCTGTATTGTTTGCATACCTCTGCGGCTTCCGAACAATAACTCCCATGCTTGGTATTGAGACTTCTAATTAATAAATTCATATAATTTCTCCAAAGCTAGATTTATGGATGTAAAATCATAATATGAGAATATTAATGTGATAAATTATGATATTAAGATATTTCTTACAGAGCTTGTAAGTCTAATATCCAGATTGGAATAATATTTATTGTGGGGTAAAGAACACATGCTCCAGAATACCTTACCCAAACAGACTCAAGGTCTCAGGAGAGCCCAGTGATATGGTCACATAGTCTTCAGTTTAAATTGTGTGTGTGTGTTTTTTTTAAGGCTTGAAAGACTTAAAAAAAAGTCTTTTTTTTTTTTGAAGACTGTTCTTTGCCAAATACCCCCTAATTTTAATTTTCATTGGCCAGGTGATGGTAAAAAGGCCATAATCATATTTTGGATCCAGTTAGGTTGAATGACTGAGTTGAACTTATTCATGTGACCCACTGTCTTCTCATTGTACACATATATATATATACAGTCACCAAGATTTCACAGCTTCTATTTAATGGTGTTTTACATTATGTCTATTTGTTTCTTGGTTCCCTACTGAAAGTCATGTTGGTTTGGTTTATTTCCAGTCACTTTCTAGTGTTGGAATCGGGATCTCTCTTCTCTGCTTCCAATGTTCTTTGCCTCTCTTACTGCTCACTGTTACCACCTGTACACTCTGATCTGTCTAAAGAAAATCTGTCCTTTGTGTTCATACTTGGACACCAAAATTTTATCATTGAATGCTACTTGTTAACACAAAGATTCACAAAGGAGAAAGGGAAGGAGGGAGGGAAAGAAGAGAGAGACTAGTTAACACTCAAAATACCTTGTGAGAGGGAGAATTGTGGAAGTGGAATTGAAATGTGATGTTCATAACTCTCTTGTCCTATGGTGTCCATGCATGGCACAGTCTCCTCCTGTGGGCAAAACCTTGAATATGGCCCATGACACTTCTGTACCATTTATAAGAATGGTAAAGGAACTGCTCAGGAAACTAAGTCTATCATCAGTGAGATGCATGTGGAATTTAATTCTGAGTTCAACAAAGTAAAGAATGTCTGTAAACTTGCTGGTTATTTTTTAATGTACAGTTAAAATGTTTATTCAATTTTTTACTCTCCAATTTACTATTCATATGCTAACATATCTGCAATATTCCTAGCAACATCAATTACAACTTTTTCTTGGTCAGTTTGATGACATTGTGTAGAACTCTGGAAACTGCCGTGTTCTGGTTCCTATGTGTCTGGAGCTCATTCTGAAATCTGTAAAGATGCTGAAATTTCCTCACTCTAAAATATCTTATTTCCCATTTCATGTCATAACTATGATTTTAAGAAACTCATAAGCTTTTACATAGAAAGAATTAAACTTCCTCTGGGCATGATGAAAAGTCTTAGAATTCACAGTAAGAAGTCAGCAAAGATGGGTGAGTTCACTGCCTCTGTGAACTTGTTATTTCTCAATTGTCCTCTAGAGGACACTCCTTTCTAAAAAGAAAATGGAGTATTTATAGATTAGAATAAACCCACATAAACCTTCCCCCCCATACCCTCCCATGCCTCTCTCCGCTTACGGCCTTTCATGACCCTTTGATGTTATGTTTCCTGTGTTCTACTGCCGAATGTCTTCCTCTTGAGCTCTTTCACTTTCCCTAATGGTCTGGTTCTAGTTTCCTGGCTTCTTCAGGAAAAGGGGTACATATATTGGGCACTAGAGCCCCATCAAGGAAGAGGTCACCCCAAGAGACACTCTCAGCACGGCTGATGCAATAGCAAGAGGAATTTTTATCCTGCAGCGGCAGAGGTCCCTCAGCCTCGAGAGGAGAAGGACCCCGGCTTTGTCTATTACAGGTTCTTTCAAAGAGAAAATCACAGAATTAGGGAGGGGGTGGTACAGGGTACAGGGTGGTACAGAATCAGTGCAGAGTGATACAGAATCAACGGGAAAGTCCAGAAATCATTTATCTACCATTTTGACTAGTTCACTTATCGGTTGGCTAACTTTAATTAATCAATGCTATGGTGATTATGTGCAGGAACACCTGTAGGTCATCTCACCCTAGTTCCAGGGCCTGTGTCTATGAAAGAAAGATTACAATGGCAAGGGAAAGTACTCAAAGCTCCAATGCACCCGTGGTTAGTTACCTGGGTCTTGGTTCACAAGGAGGAGGGTGTAGTAGTGCTAAGGCACCCCAAAGACTTTCACATAGAGGGTTCTGTGAGGAGATGTAGGGGGAGTAGAGTGATGGTGGATTCTATCTGAATACATTATGGTCATGTATTAAATTAATACACTGTTATTTTATAAACCAATTCCAGTGCTGCAGCAGAACATACTTTATGCAGATGCCAGAGACAGACCAAGGGAAAGACAGTCAGTGTTTCTTTTCACTGTCTCTCCAGTGTCCCCAGGATGAAGGTATCCACACTTCCTTAAGTTCAGAGCAACCTCTGTCGACCTCTCTTACTCTTCAGGCTGTATTTGCTTCCTGGGATTCTCCAGGAATGTATGAGCTGCTTCCTGCTCACCGTGGTGACCTTGCTCTGTATCCTGAGGCTGAGAGTAGCCCTACTGCCCACTGTCACTCTGCTTCAGGCCCTAATCAGTAGAAAGAATATGGCTGTTTCCCATTGAACATGGACTCTCCTTTTGCCTGAGCTTCCCGCACAGCACTGATGTTGCAGGAGGATGCTCAGTTGGTGTCCCTGTCTGATGGCTGTATCTGTGCATCTACAGCTTCTGCTCTGTATCTGAGGGGCTGCTACTCATGTGTTGTCCCTCACAGTCATTTCCATCATGTGCAACACCCTCACCTGGGTTTCCAGAACCTTCTAAACTCATACCAGAAAACCAGCTTGTCTCAGGCATGGGAGGGTTTTCAGTCTGAGTGCAGGAAGAATGAAAATTCTGTTTACTTGGAGATCCCTGACAATGGGTCTCAGGGAGCTGGGCATTTCTCTGCCCTGAGTCACAAGTGCAGAGCTGGACACAAGCCACCTGAGAATTGCAGAATAAGAGACCCGGGCCATAGACTCAGGTGCTTTCAAGGTTTGGTGTGTCCTGTAAATGCAACAGTACAGAAAAAGTAGAATCTTGAGAAATGCTTCATGTGTGTGGTATAGATTTTAGTTGCCATTTACTTTTCATTTTGGAAAAAAAAAGATCTGTGTTCTTTTCTTCAATTTCAACATTCTGTGGAATTTTGCCCAGGTAATAAAATATCCTTCACAGCATTGTGTTATCTGAGTCTAAATTCTACCAAATTATCCTACAGTATTGGAAGTCACTAAGTGGTCTAATGCTGTTAGAGACAATGGTGGACTGAGATAACATAAGGTTGGTTGTGTTTTGTGGGATTTTAGATTGCACTGTGTTAAGAGGTGCTTTTGTTCTTCCTTGCCTGTCTAAGGCACCTTCTGGTTGATTTAATAAAGATCTATATGGACAATAGCTTGGAAGGATATAGGCAAGACTTCCAGGCAAAGAAAGGAACTCTGGGAAGAATCTGGAGCAGGGGATTAGCCAGTGAGAAGCAGAAAAATTTGGACATACAATATGGATGAGGTAATGAGGTATATGGCAGAATTTAGATTAATATAAATGGGTTAATTAAAGTTTTAAGAGTTAGTGGGAATAAACTTAAGATAAGGTGAAGATTTCATACTTAATAAGAACTGTCTGTATCGTTATTGGGAGCTGGCGTTACAAATAATGCAAGGCTATTGCTGTGAGTTATTGATGAAGTAATTGCTTATTTTTCATAACTAGTCTCATTTCTCAAGCAATCATCTTTATGGTGAAAATTTTGAAATGCATTCCTCTAATTTTATGAACTCAAGTGCATTGTCCCCTGCATTCACCTTGTGCAACAGCACAGCAGATGCTGGCACTGTCACTGAGGATGCAGCACTTCTGCATTAGCTTCCCCCACCCATTTCCTTCCTATGTGGTCACATTTTAAAACTACATTTAGAACAAACCATGACTCTGCAGAAGTGTTCCAATTTTTAAGATGCATTCCAGAACTATGAAACCATTATATTACACTGTCATTATGCTCCTGTTTTATTTTTGTTGGTGTTTGTTTTCCTTTTTCCTATCGTGGTCATGTCACTTCAGTTATTTCACAGGTGAAGATCGCTTTCAATGTGCATGATAGTGGGTCTGTGTAAATGCCTAGTACATTTAGACAGGTTCTGGGGAGAACAGAAGAGGGAATTAGGTTCCCAGAAGTTAGAGGCAGCTGTGTGCCACCTGAAATAGATGCTGTGGAGGGAACTAAGGCCTCCTGGAAGAACAAGGACCCTTATCTGCTGAGCCATCTCTCAGGCACCAGTAAAGGGTAGTTAGTCAGAACATGCATCTGTTTCCTGAGGTAAACCACTAGCTGTTGCTTCTCTGAGTGTGCCAGGTCTTCTCACAGCTGAGGCTTGTTCTCCTTGGGAGGGGCTGATCCTCTCTTGTTTCCAGGATCCCTAACTGCAAACAACAACAGAGTTTTCTCAAAATGTTCCCCACTCTATAGTTGACAGAGACTGCTTGTTCATTTCCTGGCTGCCCAGACCAGAATAATGACACATAGATTATATGAATTACAACACTGTTTGGTCAATATCTTAGGCATAATTTTAACTAACTTTTACATTTTATATTAATCCATTTATATTAATCTCTGCATTGTCACTGTGCTATGGCCTACTGGTAAGGTTCTGGCTGAGATCTGGTGTCTTTCTCCTTTAGCAGCTCCCTGGCATCTCTCTGACTCCACCTATTTTCTCTATATCACTGTTCAGATTTTCTGCCTGATTTTACTTTACTAAACCATTGATCAAAACAGTTTCTTTAGTAACCATTGGCCATAAAACATATTCATAGCATACAGAGGGGAATCTCACATCTCCCTGTGCTCCACCCAGACTCTCACTCAGCCAGGTCTGGTTTGGGAGGAGCTTCAGGCTTCATAAGCTGGGAGGGAACTCAGCAGTGTCTGGTCTGGCAGGGTTCCTAGGTGGAGCTGACTGGATGTAAAAGGAGGGCAATTTCACCACAGTCCAGGAGTTGGTTACTTGCTTCTGTCTTTAGCAGTCAGACAAGCACCATGAAGAGGCTGCTGTGCTCTCTGCTGGGGCTGCTGTGTGCCCAGGTTTGCTGTGAGTGTGGCTGTCCACATTCAGGGGACAGAAAAAATGCTGGTCAGCACTCGGAGGGTGGGGAGACAGTTCAGGAGTTCTGCAGATCTCACACCTTGTCAGAGGGCATGGGGGAGTGTCCAGGGTTCTATGGTTGTTCAATGACTATAATTTGTGTCTCTTTCTCTGTTTCTAATCAGGGGTGAAAGGGCAACAGATGAAGCAGAGTTCTGTGTCCTTGGTTCTGCCGGAGGAAGAGAGTGTAGAGCTGCAGTGCAACTTTTCCATCTCTGTAAGGCAAGTGCAGTGGTTTTATCAAAGTTCTCGGGGACACCTCATCAGTCTGTTCTTCAATCCTTCTGGAACAGAGCAGAGTGGAAGACTGAAGTCCACAACAGTCACTCAAGAACGCTGCAGCTTGGCGGAGCTCTCCTGAATCCCGTCCCAGCCTTTATCCAGGTACACCTTCCTCTCTTCCCCCCCTCCCCTCTGGAGACGCAAGATCTCCCCAGAGCTGCTCCCTTGCACGCTGGGCCTGGACTGTGGGCTCAGTCCGGCAGGGGCAGCTCCGGTGCTTTGAGAGCCTGCCTGAGGAAAGGCAAGCCCTGTCTCAGCTCAATCACATTCCTGGCCAGCAAGAGAGAGTGAACTTCTAGCAGACTTCCATTGGAGGAGGGGTGAGTTTTCTCCTGGCCAGAGGGCTTCCTCTAAGAGCAATTCAGCCTTTCCCTGCCCCCCTCGACAATCTGGTCACCAGGCAGAGGCGACTCCTCCTTGCGGAGCTCTCCCGAATGCCGTCCCAGCCTTTATCCAGGTACACCTTCCTCTCTTCCCCCCTTCCCTCTGGGGCCACAAGATCTCCCCAGAGCAACTCCCTTGCTCGCTGGGCCTGGGTTGTGAGTACAACCCGGTAGTAGGGAGTGCCTGTGTTTCAATAGACTGCCTGAGGAAAGGTAGGCCTTCTGTCAGTGAATTCCCTGCCCTACAAGGGAACCTGACCTGGTACTAGAAGATCCAGTAGAGAGCATTTGAAGGAAGAGATGGGCAGACGCCAAGGCAAGAACTCCTCCAACAATCTAAAAAACAACATGAAAATGCCAGAACCCAATGACCCTACAATAGAAGGACTTGAACCTCTTAATTGAGAAGAAGCGGGAAAAAATGCCATTATGAAAGCAATAGAGAACCTTAAACAGGGTATGAATAACTCCCTTAAAGAACTGGATGAGAAGTATAACAAAAAGATTGAAGAAATGAGTAAAGAAATGGATGAAAAATATAAAAAAAACATCGAAGAAATGAGTAAATCCATGAATGATATATTGGGAAACCAAGAAAAAACAATCAAACAGGTAATGGAAACAGTTCAAGAATTGAAAACTGAAATGGAGGCAATGAAGAAAACACAAAACGAGGGCCGGCTGGATATGGAAAATCTAGGTAAACGAACAGAGACTACAGAATCAAGCATAACCAATAGGATACAAGAGATGGAAGAACGAATCTCAGAGTCTGAAGATACCATAGAGAAAATAAATGCTCTGATCAAAGAAAACAGCAAATCCAATAAATTCTCATCACAAAACATTCAAGAAATCTGGGACACAATAAAAAAAAACAAATCTAAGAATAATAGGGATTGAAGAAGGAGAAGAACTGCAGATCAAAGCCCCAGAAAATATATTCAACAAAATTATAGAAGAAAACTTTCCCAATCTAAAGAATGATATTCCTATGAAGGTTCAAGAAGCATACAGAACACCGAATAGGCTTGATCAAAAACAAAACATCCCCTCGCCATATAATAATCAAAACACAAAACATACAGATTAAAGAAAGAATATTAAGAGCTGCAAAGGAAAAAGGGCAAGTAACTTATAAAGGTAAACCTATCAGGCTTACACCGGACTTCTCTATGGAAACCATGAAAGCCAGAAGGTCCTGGATAGAGGTACTGCAGAAACTAAGAGACCATGGATGCAAGCCCAGACTAATATACCCAGTCAAGCTATCATTCACTATCAATGGAGAAAACAAAATATTCCAGGATAAGAACAAATTTAAACAATTCGCAGTCACAAACCAAGCCTTACAGAGAGTAATAGAAGGAAAATTGCAACCAAAGGAGTCCAACATTGCCAGCAATGCTTACAATAACTCAGACATCTAGTGACCCTTCACGAGCTTAACTCAAAGAAGGGACACATACAAACTCTATTAATCAAACAAACAAAAAGTAATAATAACCGGAGTAAACAACCCCTGGTCATTAATATCACTTAATATTAATGGGCTCAATTCACCTATAAAAAGGCACAGACTAAGAGACTGGATACGAAAACAGGATCCAACATTCTGCTGTTTACAAGAAACACACCTCAACCACAAAGACAGACATTTACTCAGAGTAAAGGGTTGGGAAAAGGTTTTTCAAGCAAACGGACCTAAGAAACAAGCAGGCATGGCCATTCTAATCTCCAACAAAATTGACTTCAAACTAAAATCAATCAGAAGAGATGGAGATGGACATTTTATACTCACAACAGGAACAATTAATCAGGAGGAAGTCTCAATCCTGAATATCTACGCCCCTAATATAAAGCCTCCTACTTATGTAAAAGAAACACTTCTAGAACTCAAGGCAGTCATCAAACCACACACACCAATAGTAGAAGACTTCAACACTCCTCTCTCACCAATGGACAGGTCAATCAGACAGAAACCTAACAGAGAATTAAGAGAATTATTGGAGGTATTGAATCAAATGGACTTAACAGACATCTATAGAACATTCCACCCAAATAGGAAAGAATATACCTTCTTCTCTGCAGCTCATGGAACCTTCTCAAAAATTGACCACATACTGGGTAACAAAGCAAACTTCCACAGATACAAAAAAATATTAGTAGCCACCTGGGTCTTGTCAGACCACCATGGATTAAAGTTAGAATTCAACAACAGTGCTACCCCCAGGAAGCCAACAAATTCATGGAAGTTGAACAGTCAACTACTGAATCACCCCTGGGTCAAGGAAGAAATAAAGAAAGAAATTAAAGTCTTCCTTGAATTTAATGAAAATAAAGACACAACATACTCAAACCTATGGGACACTATGAAAGCAGTGCTAAGAGGAAAGTTCATAGCACTAAGTGCCCAATTAAAGAAAACAGAGAAAGCACACATTGGAGAATTAACAGCACACTTGAAAGATCTAGAAAAAAAAGAAGCTGATTGACCCAGTAGGAGTAGAAGACTGGAAATAATCAAACTGAGGGCTGAAATCAACAAAATAGAAACACAGAAAACAATCCAAAGAATCAATGAATCAAAAAGCTGGTTCTTGGAGAAAATCAACAAGATCGACAAACCCCTATCCAAATTAATCAAACGGCAGAGAGAGAGATAATGCAAATTAATAAGATCAGAAATGAAAAGGGGGACATAACCACAGACACAGAGGAAATTCAGAGAATCATTAGATCTTACTACGAAAATTTATATGCCACAAAGCTTGATAATGTAAAAGAAATGGACATTTTTTTAGATAAGTACCATATACCAAAGTTGAACCAAGAACAGGTGAACAATCTAAATAGACCTGTTAGTCGCGAAGAATTAGAAGCTGTTATCAAAAATCTCCCTACCAAAACAAGCCCAGGACCAGATGGTTTCAATGCAGAATTCTACCGGAACTTCCAGGAAGAGCTAATACCTATACTCCTTAATGTATTTCACAATATAAAAACAGAAGAATCACTGCCAAACTCTTTTTATGAAGCTACAGTTACCCTGATACCAAAACCACACAAAGACACAACAAAGAAAGAGAATTACAGACCAATATCACTCATGAACATTGACGCAAAAATACTCAATAAAATACTGGCAAACCGAATCCAAGAATACATTAGAAAAATTATCCATTATGATCAAGTGGGCTTCATCCCAGAGATGCAGGGCTGGTTCAACATATGCAAATATATCAATGTAATCCATCATATAAATAAACTGAAAGAAAAAAACCATATGATCATTTCATTGGATGCTGAAAAAGCATTTGACAAAATTCAACACCCATTTATGATAAAGGTTTGGAGAGACTGGGGATACAAGGATCATACCTAAATATAATAAAAGCAATATACAGCAAGCTGACAGCTAACATCAAATTGAATGGAGAGAAACTCAAAGCCTTTCCACTAAAATCAGGAACACGACAAGGCTGTCCACTCTCACAATTCCTCTTCAATATAGTGCTTGAAGTTCTAGCAATAGCAATAAGACAACATAAGGGGATCAAGGGGATTCGAATTGGAAAAGATGAAGTTAAACTTTCGTTATTTGCAGACGATATGATAGTGTACATCAGCGACCCCAAAAACTCTACCAAAGAACTCCTACAGTTGATAAACACCTTTAGTAATGTGGCAGGATACAAGATCAACTCCAAAAAATCGGTAGCCCTACTATACACAAAGGATAAAGAAGCAGAGAGGGAAATCAGAGAAACATCACCTTTCATGATAGCCACAAATAGCATAAAATATCTTGGGGTAACTCTAACCAAGGAAGTGAAAGACCTATTTGACAAGAACTTTAAGTCTTTGAAGAAAGACATTGAGGAGGATACCAGAAAATGGAAAGACCTTCCCTGCTCTTAGATAGGGAGAATCAACATAGTAAAAATGGCAATTCTACCAAAAGCAATCTATAGATTCAATGCAATTCCCATCAAAATTCCATCAAACTTCTTCACAGACCTTGAGAGAAAAATAATCAAGTTTATATGGCAAAACAAAAAACCCAGGATAGCCAAAACAATCTTATACAATAAAGGAACCTCTGGAGGCATTACCATCCCTGACTTCAAGCTGTATTACAGAGCAACAGTATTGAAAACAGCTTGGTATTGGCATAACAACAGAAAAGTCGAACTATGGAATCGAATAGAAGACCCGGGTATTAACCCACAAACTTATGAACACCTGATTTTTGACAAGGGAGCTAAAGCTATACAATGGAAGAAGGATAGCATCTTTAACAAATGGTGCTGTCATAACTGGATGTCAACCTGTAGAAGAATGAATATAGATCCATATCTATCACCATGCACAAAACTCAGGTCCAAATGGATAAAAGACATCAACATTAATCCGACCACTTTGAACCTCATAGAACAGAAAGTGGGAAGTAGTCTATAAGATATAGGCACAGGAGACCACTTCCTAAGCAGAACCCCAGGAGCGCAGACAATAAGAGAAACAATAAATAAATGGGACCTACTGAAACTGAGAAGCTTCTGTAAAGCAAAGGACACTGTCAGTAAGACAAAAAGGCTACCTTCTGACTGGGAAAAGATCTTCACAAACCCTGCAACAGATAAAGGTCTGATCTCCAAAATATACAAAGAACTCAAGAAACTAGACCCTAAAACTCTAATTAACCCAATTAAAAAATGGGGTACTGAACTGAACAGAGAATTCACAACAGATGAACTT